CCCCCCCCCCCCTCCGACATACGTTCCACATTCCACGCCACATCATCAACACTGCAGCCGTTCAGCTACCGCTTCGTGCTGGGAGGTGCGTTGGTCCTCGGGGGTCTGGCCGCAAACGTGATAATCAAGGAGCGCCGTAAAGCCACCGAGTCGGGGAGAAAGCATCGGTCTCACGAGTTCCTTCCCCAGCTCGCTGTCAACGCCGGCAAGATCAGCAAAGGCGCCGACGGCGGCAGCGGCGGCGGCGGCGGCGGCGGCGGCGGCGGCGGCGGCGACGGCAGCACCGCCTCCATCGGAAACGGTAGCAGCAGCAGCTACGCCACCGGTGGCAACCACCGCCACCACTCCCGCTCGACGAAGGACCCCGCTTCCGAAAGTTTGCTACCTCCTTCGTCGGCGCCACTGATGACCGGCGGCGGCGGCGGCGGCGGAGGCGGCGGAATTAGCGTTGGCACCCCCTCCGACCGGCTTTCATCGTCGAACCAGAAGAGGCAGCGTCATCAGCAACAGCACGACACCGCCACCGGGCACCTGAAGCAAGGGCTGCTGCCATCTTGGCGAGCGGCCGCGGCCTCGAGAAGCGACTGGCGCTCCATGGAGAGCGGCGGCGGGGGTGCCCGCGAGGGATAGCGTGGCGTCTGGCGAGGGGGTAGGGGTCTCGGTGCTTTAGCGTAGGGTCCGCGGTTGTTCTCGCGAGCGATTCAGCGTCGCCAAAGCCGGATGGATGCCCTCGCGGTGGCCTTTGTGGGGGAAAAATTATTTTTTGGCCCTCCGTTGTCGCTTATTTTCATGCTCTAAACGTCTTGGCCGCCAAGAAGGGTCTGCTGGTGAGGACCGATAAGGTTCATCTGGGAGTTTTCGTCTTGGGGGCAGGTAGGCCTCACTCGGGTGAAGTACGGGGCCCCCGATGGTTCGAGGTGCTTTGTTGATTCTTTTTTTGTGCTTGTGATGTCGTTCTGGGCGAGACACACGATTTTGGGTACGTGTTCTCATGTGGTCTCCCCTGTTTCGCTGGGTTTTGCTTCTTGTCTTCGCTCGATCTCGTCGTGGTATGTGTACATTTTCAAATTCCAGTTTTTATAGTGCGCACATGGGAGCCCCTTGGTCCGCAGAAGAGGGGCCGATTCGTCCACGTGTACGTGGCTCGAAACGAGAAAGTCCGCTGTAGAGGCACTCCGGTGGTCTTCGATTCTGGCGCTTCTTGGCTGAATGCAAGGACTGTCTTTTGTGAACCTTGGCGGCGAAGGGGCCACTGTTTGTTGGGTCCTATGTCGGGTCGTGTCGATAGCCTTCGCGAGCACATGATGCTTGGCTTAACAGGGGGTACGTGGTGGGTTTGGGTGTTAGGGTTTGGGGTAGAAGCGCCCTTAATATATTGTCACAGATGAACACTAAATTGCGAAGGCAGTCCGGTCGTCCCAGTAGCCACACGATCACGAACCATTCTTCCCAGTCGGCAGCATTTCAACTTTTGCCGTGGCAGGTCGTTTGTTAGTATTCAAGCGTAGCATGGAGTAGCGACAATTTCCCGCTGCGGCTTTGATGCTGCTGCGCGCTGTCTCCCTTGCTGCGGCGTGCATTCCGAACTTCCAAAGTTCGTTTTCCTGCTCGTTATGGTTTTGTCTGTTGGCCACTTGACAGGAAAGAGTATTTTTATGTCGATGTCTCCTGTCGTGTGATGGATACTTCGGTACTGCTGCTGTGTGCGGGAGTGCGCCGCCGCGGGCGGCGGTGAGCGTTGGCCTACGCTACCGTTGCGTACGTTAAGTTTGTTTGGGGGTCGCGCATGCCTGGCGTTTGATGCGAACGGCATGGCACGCTGGTAGGCCACTCGTTTTTCTTACTTGTCTGATTGCACCCGGCGGGCGTTTATTGCGGGGTCGAATGTTTTTTTGTCCTTGATGTTTTGGGCGATGTGTCCCGTGTGCGTTTCGTGGCACAACTGCCCCCCTGTACGCCACCTCACTGATCCGGGTGCTACCGTCGGCGCTTCAATCGGGGTGGACACACCCACACGCACACCTACACTGTTTCCTGTTGTACCTCACGCGTTTGCATCGAATCTGTGTTTGTTCGCGAGTGGTTGAGCGTACCTTGTTTTTTTACGTGTTACCGTCTTGTATTCAAGTCTTGCTTGTTGGAGGTTGTTAGCTTGTGGCCGACCACGGAATTTGTGTGAATAATTCACACCCTGTACAACTACTTTAGTTGTCAGTTGTCCGGCAGACAACTATTTCTTGAACAAGCTGCGCCACTAGCTGCCTGCAGACAACTACTGTTGGGAAAAGCTGCGCAACTAGTTGTCCGCAGACAACTATTGGGTAGTTGCTGCCCTGCACAACTAAAGTTGTAGTTGCCAGTTGCAGTTGTACAGGGTGTGGAATAATTGAATGTGTTAGCTTGTGGCCGACCGCGGAATTTGTGTGAATCGGAGAGTGAGGAAATGGAGGTGGGTGGTGGGTGGTGGATATTGCCACCATGTAGAAGAGCTCATATCATGGAGACATCTGGTCTGGGGGACGCGGACGCCTTCCTCTTTGGTCACAAGGCTAAAGCGTGTGTCGTGCGTTTTGTTGTTAGCATAAGATTAGATACCTCGCTAACCCTTTTGTGTGGGTGTTCGTCCTGTGCTGCTTTGGCGCATGGCCCATGATTTTGCTTTTGTCTCATTGTAATGGTGATTTGATACGTTTTTGAACCACCCGTGTGAGACGGCTGGCCGCGAGCATAAAGAATGTCGTGCCACGGATTTTCCCCAGCCATTCTGCGAAAGCTAAGCGGCAGTGTGGATGTCATCTGGTCCTAAATCTCTAGACCTCATTGCCCGAGTCGCAATACGGGTTGGCTCTCTCACTTACGCAAGAATCACCCGGCCAGGTCGCCGTCCGTTCGCGAAAGAAAATACGTGATGATATTGGAACTGAACTGTAAGTACAAAGAGCCTTCGGGCAGGCTGAGGTTGATTAGAACGCCCTCTCAGTGACATCGACTTCCGGGCTGGCTGTTGGTGCTGTCGCCTGTCGGCATACAGAGGTGTATGCATATGCAAGGTTGACGTTGTTGTTGGTCGACATCAAACTGCAAGTGCTACACAATACGTAGCTGTCGTGGGACAAACGATGTCGTGAGTTCTCTTTGAGTTTTCACACTACTGTCACTATTGTCAGCCATTGTGGTCTTGCCCACACACAAATGCTACATGCCACTGCTCGCCTCTCCCGCTTTCTGTTTTCCCTCTCCCCCCATGTGAGGTCAATGGTCTAACGACTACGGCATGCACGACTATGAGTAAC